CACACACACACACACACACACACACACACACACACACACACACACACACACACACACACCGTATGCCTCTCAACAATATGCGTTTTTGCTCACTTTAGTAGCGCTATAGCGCTACACAGCAAAAACATTTAAAAATTGAACTTTCGAATAATGGTATGCTTGGAAAAGCTGTGCTCATAACTACACGTTTGACATATTATCCATTTTGTGCGTTTTGCGTATTTATGCAAATACAAAAATGCTTATTGTAAGGACCCATGATGTGTGTATGTGTGTGTGTGTTTTTGTGTATTTGTTTGTGTGTTTTTGCGTCTGTTTCAACTCGGCAATCAAATGAGCGTAGGTACTGAAATTTTTGCGGTTGTGTTTCCTGGTCGAGTGCGATCGCAGAAACACGATATCAGCTTTTGTGCATGTCTGGGTCTCGCATACGGACACGTAGAAGTTTTGGTTAGAAAATCGCTAACTCGGGAACCAGAAGAGCTATCTACGAAGCTAAAATAATAGGGTAGGAGGTAAGGGATCAGTCTAATTGTCATGCGCGAGAAAACACGTTTTTATGCAGTCTGTGTTTTCATCCCTTAACTGTAAGCATAGACGGAACGCAGTATGCGCGTAAGAGTGCGAGTCGTCATTGCGTAGTCTTTCCTGCCATGTATATGATGAGCATGTGTCAAATTGCTGGGACGAGAATGAAGAGATGAGTGAGAAGAGGTAACGATGTGAAAATGAGCGAAAAGAGGTGGCGATGTGAAGAAAGAGGTGAAGAGGGCGAAAGACTTATTTTTGAGCGAGTAGAAGGATGTTGTCCACGCATTTGCGGTCCGAAGACTTCAGATTCACTTTCTGCGTGCATCTGCTTCTAAAATACAAACACCTGAAAGTCTTTACGGAAAAATTGTCAAGAAACGAAGGACCTAAGAAGCTGAAATTTTAGGGGATGTCCCCTGTTCGCGTACGATCCAAAAGTGCCAAATTCCCTTCCTTAGTACGCCTACTTCTTACGTATGAACACGTAAAAGTACAAGTAGGGATTTTCCAACTTGGGAATCAGATAGGATGGTGACCTGGAATTTTTGAAAAATATTCTCTGCCTATGTACAGTCTAAATATTTGAAATCCAGTTTTCAAGTACGTCTCGCTTACAGACAGGTGAAAGATTTGGTGGAAATTTTTTAACATTTCTCCGACTGGACAACCATACAACACAGAGGGCCGAAATTTTATGAAGATGTTGTTTATCGAAGTGCGATTGTGGGATTCAAATTTGGTTTCTATGCGCGCCTAAGACTCATGTGTGGACATATGGAATTTTTGGAAGTCTTTCCAGCTCGGGTCTCTTACCAATGCTGCACCGCCTGTTGTTCTTTTGTCAGAGATCTTGGCGTTCGTTTTATATCCTTTACGATGTTGACAGCTCAGTGGTTCTTTTGACAGAGGCACTTGATAAGGCTTTGGTCGAATCGAATTGTCCGTGGTATTTGTTGAGCATCGTTGTCGCGTTCTAAACGTTACTACTTTTTGGCCGAATGAGGCACCTTACCGAGTTTTTAAGTGCCTGTGAAAAAATGATTTTAAGAATCCAGCTTCATTTTTCATTCTTCTTTACTATTTTGTTATATTCGTTGTGTGTGGTTTCATAACTTGCTTATGAAGCAGCCCTCTCAAGAATGAGTCACCAACAACTTTCTCACTGCGGAGGGTCACCCTTGTAATTGTTCTTGCATGATTTCAGTTTTGAGTGCTGCGTGCAGGAATTCATTGTAATCCCACGATAAAGTAAAATACGATGAATATGGTATATTGCTTGCCTTGCTGGCAACTGGTAGATGTCAAGTATTGGTATGTAAAACCTGTGAGAAAATAAAAGACAACTCGGGCGAACCTGGATTGAGTGAGACGCATACATTGAGTAAACATTGGGTGCCTTGAGGGATGCAGCTCTGGATCGATGGGCCTGGGGCGTAATCATCTTTGCAGCATCATTGGCACTGAATCTCTACATCGATTGTACTGGCAGTTCAAGGGAATTTGGATTTTACTGAATGTTCTTGAAGGAATGTCTTATATGATCCCTCTTTTCCTTTCCGTCTTAAAATTAGAATTCTTTCAGCCGCTGCCGATCCTACGACGTGGTTTCGTTGGTTCGGTTACGATGAGTCAGGAGCAGGCAGCCTCATTACTGGCGCACGCTTTCTTCTGCACGTTCCCCAGCAGTTCAGACGATCTACCGTCTGTGAATTTTGGATACTTGTTCAGTATGAAGACGTCAACATCGATGGAAAAACTGCGTTGCGTATTCCACTACTTCCATACGATCTCCAAGAAAAGTGGGTATTAAATGCATCATTTCCGTTTTTTTCTTATCGGATATGGAAATTTCACTTGGGATTAGACCTGTACTTGATAAATCGGTTTTAGTGCCCACTGGGCTGCTCACGTTTCGCCGACAGAAAGATTCGATGCCTGACTGGTCATCTTTGCAAATGCTGCTCTCGAATTTGTGCGTCACTTCCTCTGGACGAATTGAAGATAATGGGTATGGTATGCTGCAAGTGGATTTTGCCAACAGTTACATCGGGGGCGGGGTGCTGGGCAACGGCTGTGTTCAGGTATTTCGCCACAACTTCTAGGCTTTCAGTAATGCATATGCACTAATAATCTCGTCGAGCTGTTGTCATTGTCATTTATGAAGGATTGAGGAAATGCATGAATAAAACTGCTTATAAAAATTCTTTCTTTGTTATCTTTAGGTGCTTTGATTGTTTCGGTGCATCGCACTGTTTTTTGTCACTTAGCCTGCCCGTTTATGGCGTTACTGCACTGATCTCATCAAAGTGCTTGAAAAGCCTCTTTTATCAGACCGTGTGTTGTCGGGCCTATAAAATTACTTTGTGATCTCGATCATGACCATCAGTGTTGCAGGAAGAAATCAGATTCCTGATTTGTCCTGAACTAATGGTTTCGATGCTGCTTTGCGAGAAAATGGATGATAATGAAGCGATTGTTATTTGCGGTGCTCAGAGATTCTCCAGTTACACTGGGTATGGTCCAACATTCCGCTGGCAACGTATGGAACATGAAGACTCTACGCCAAGGTCGCTTTCTTATTCCATCTTGCGACTCGAGAAATGTGGGAATTTGACATGTATTACTGTGCAGTTGCAAGAGCTCGATGATATCGGATTGTAGTGTTATGCAGGGATCGATTTGGCAGATTGCTTTGTGAACTGGTGGCGATCGATGCCTTACCTTTCCTGCACAAAGATATGCAGTTTCATGTGGAGCTGGTGGATCGCGAATTGCTTAAGGTAGGAGGGGAGTGTTTTTGGCTAGCAGGTGAAGACATTCCAGTATTATGTTCAGAAAATAACCAGTCATTAAAATTTACAGGCTTACGTCGGTTTTGCTGCACTGAAAAATGAGACAAGGGGAGTGGCAACTGGTAACTGGGGTTGTGGCGTGTTTGGCGGAGATCCCGCACTAAAAAGTAAGTTGCTTTTCCTTCAGCTTTTTATGCGTTTTTTGCATCCGTGCAATGCAAAAACACAAATTATCGAGGGATTGTCTATGTGCATGTTTGCGTTCGGATGTATCGATTTTTCATCTCGAGACCTAAAAAAGCTACAGGTCTGAAACTTTGGGGGCTTGTTCTAGATGCACGCACGGGCCTCCATCCTCAAGATGAGCGCTCTTACCCACATGGTTCCCACGTACGAGCCCGTCAGAGTTCCCGGCGGGTAAGCTGCTAACTCGGGAACCAGAAAAGCTAGAAAGCTGGAATTTTAAAGGGATATACCTCTTCTACCTAAAATTTGATGATTTCAGATTCAGCCTCAGGTATGCGTGGTTCTCACGTACGAGCCCGTGAAAATTCCCCGCGGGTAAGTTGCTAACTCGGAAACCTGGAAAGTCAAAAGGCTAGGACTTCAGGGGGATGTTGTTCACATAGGTCTTAATGAGTTCGAATCCAGCCCTCGGGTATGCGTGGTTCCCCCGTGCGAGCCCGTGAAAACTTCTTGCGGGTAAGTTGCTAACTCGAGAACCTGAAAAGCTAAGAAGCTGTAATTTTAAATGGATATTTCCGGTCCAAATAGAACACAGTGACTTCAGTCTCTGCCCCCGAGTTTCGCTTGGTGCTCACGTGCGGGCCTGTGGAAATTTTTTGCGAGTAGGTTGCTAACGCGGGAACCAGAAAAGCTAGGGAGCCGGAATTTAAGGAAATGTTTCCTGACAGTCCTGGCGGACGGACTCAATTTTTTTAGCTAGGAGCATCTACCGGAAAAAATAGTGCCGTCAATAACAAAAACCTGCGGGGAACTATATAAAAAGCGCATCTTCGCACCGGCGGTTGGAGCGCTGGTCAGTTATTGTAACTTTGAAATTCGTCCCGCAGGCAGCGTATCGACCTCTTCAGGTTTGATACAGCTAATGGCTGCATCGGCGCGAAATCGGCCGCTTTGTTATTGTACGTTTGGGAATGGTCAGTTTGCTGATAGTCTGCAAGCAGTGTACACACTGCTCAAGCAGCACAATGCCACAGTTGGTATGTTTTAAATGCCATTCGTACAAGCAACTGGAATTTACAGACCCGTGGGAAAGGAAGGTTTTTTCCAGGGAAATTATACAGCATGGTATCTGCTTATTGTTCTGAGTATGAGAAAGGTTCGCCAAAGCTGTTCGATTACATTTCTTCAAAAATACGGGAATTCCCTTCGTGAAGTGATCATCGCATTGCCGTCGATTGATCTCACTGCTCCTCTCACTTTTCTACTTCTCCTCTATTGGTTTTCTTGTATTGCCTTGTATTATGCAACTGCGAATCAGTGTTATCAGTCGGAAATTTGTCAGCAGTGGAGAGCACAACCCCTGCATTATTATTAAACCTCTGCATAAAGTAGCAGCATCCTCGGACTTATTCACACAGAAATAAAGTCTGAGTTAATAGACGTGACCTCGGGTGAACTAATGAAGATAGTTCATATTCCAAAACTGACGTGAGACAACTGGACCTCCAGATCAGTTAAATATTTGCCGCACTCACTACATTTGACTGAACTGTAAAGCTCGTACGAGCGGGCTTCATTTATCGAATTCCACAAATGTGATGGTTACTGCTCTTCAGTGACTGACAGCTACCCAGAAGTATCACTGATTAGTTAGGGAGATAAGAGAATTTGCATATATGAGCATCAGTGTAAATAAATTATGGTGAGATGGGTGGGTGAGAGATCAACTGTTTTCAGCTTTTGAACCCTGCGAGATCAGATTTGCCAACATTCAGCGCCTGCATCAAAATGTCTTTCTGCTCCGCATAGTGTGTGAATTTATTGCCCGTTGCAGCTGCTGCTGCTGGCAGTCGTCCAGCGTACTTCAGAAGTCGACCCTCCCTGAAATTTATGCATTTTCATATAGGAAGTCTCACAACTCTCAGCACCAAGTTTTTCGAAAAAAAAAAAATTAGCTGGGCTTACTTTTCCAGTAAACATTGGAATCGTGGGTGTACAAAGCCCCAAGCACCCATGTTCTTGTGCTCCTCTTGTGCCCAGATGAGCTCGGCAGCTTTGAACTTCGCGCACTCTTTCTCAATCATGTCGTACGGGAATGGACTAATTTGCTCGATGCGGCAGAGTGCTATTTTTGATTCCAAATTCAGATATTTCCTTGCCGCGAACAGCTCGTAATAAACCTTGCCTGAAAGCCCATGGCAATGTTTTAGATTTCAACAAACAACAGCATTAGAACAGCAAATGCATTGGAAGAATTAAAAGAGATCAAAGCCATGCCTGAGCAAAATATGAGACGTTCCACCTGGTCTGGAGAATTGACAGCACTGCCGTTCTCCGGAATAACCCTCTTGAATCTGGTACCAGTTAAGAAGTCTTCGATGGGGGAACGCGCCAGAGGGTGGCGCAAAAGCGATTTCGGTGACATGATAATTAACGGTTTCCTGAAAAAGCATGCTCACGCCTTATGGCAGAACAACCAACCTATCGTTTTCCATTAGTTTTACAAGGTAGGGATTAATTTTCAAATAAATAGTGGCGCGCACCAAGGTAAAGGGTGCAGTCATGCGGTTTGCGCAGTTTCGATCAGCTGACGTTTGTCTGCTAAGGATTCTGACTGTTTTACACTTTGTTCTATGAAGAAAGAATCGATATATCGCTTGGTTCCTAAGCTGCAAAATTTCCTATCAAAAATTCTACGTCCCAGTGCGTAAAACGCGGATGTACGTGAAAGCTCAATTAGAAACCTAGGACGGCGAACATTATCGCGAAATTCCAACCCCCTAGTTCTCTGGCTTCCGAATAATTTTTGTGCCAAAACTTTCATGTGGTCGTATATGAGGCCTCCTCGCACTTGCAAGCTAAGTTTGAGTTTGTTAGGCCCCTAAATAGGCAAAAAACATCCTTATGTTTTTAGCCTCTCAGCTCTTCTCACTCCCGATACAACAACTTCCTCCGCCGAAACTCCCACGGTGCCATAGTGATACCCAAGCTAACGGGAGGGCTGGAATTTAAACTTGCGGCATCGCATGTACGCATTAAAATCTCAGCCTCTTAGCTCTCGTGATCCCCAAAATAGTAATTTTCCCCGCCAAAATTTTCACAGGGCCGCACGTGGTACCCGGGGATATATGAAGGCTGAATTTAAGTATGATGGATGGCATGTAGGCGGGGAATATTTTACAAAAATTTTGTCTTCCTAGCTCTCGTGGTTCCCCAGATAATAATTAGCCCTGCCTTTTGCGGGGTCGTGCGTCTGCTTGCTGAAATTTCGTGGGATCACACTTAGGCGAGGAACATTCTACTAAAATTCCAGCTTCCTAGCTTATCCCGGGCTGAAACCCCCGGATAAAATGCACTGGCATCACACACACAAACATATACAAAGTTTCGACAATATGCGTTTTGTGCAGCTGTTGCAGCACAAAACGTATAACAAGAATCGAAAGATAACCTGAACGGCAAGGTGATCTGGCGGCGTAAGAGATGAAAGTAATTAGCCGGCGTTGTGCAATTCGCGACGATCCAGTTGGTATCATGCAGCTGCTGCGCTTCGAAAGTGGGTCCGAAAGCGACTCGCTGAAAACTTGCATCCGTTCCCGAAAACAGAGGCACTTCCAGACGACTGTGCAATTTCTGCACAGTTCAAAGTTCAGCAAGAAAAAAAAACCTTAAGATCGATTTCATCGTCCTCATTGCACATTTGTAGAAAGCGCTCCAATCGCGCACTGGTATGCTCAGGGCCCATCCCTTCGTAACCATGGGGCAGTGTCATCACTAATCCAGTCTGCCGAATCCACTTCGACTGCCCTGAACAAAATGGCCCAATAAACCGCTACAAAAGCATAATGAAAGCCGCACTTCCAGAAAGAAATTTATACCGGAGGAGACGAACTGGTCGATAATGCACTGGGCGTTATTCGCAAAATCACCGAACTGAGCTTCCCAAATAACCAGTGAATTCGGATCGACTAATGAATAGCCAAGCTCGAATCCAAGAATCGCGTACTCAGACAACGAGGAGTTACACACAGTGTATTGGGCTTGCTGTAATATCAGAGTTTTCACCACACACAATCCTTATTTAATTTGCAGCTTATGGACACTGATAGGTACCTTCTCAGACAGGTCATTCAGTGGATTGTACGTTTTTTGGTCAACTTTTTGGTCGTGCAGTACGTGATGTCGGTGTGCGAACGTCCCCCTTTCAACGTCCTGGCCCGAGAGCCGCACGTGTGTCCCTGAAAGAAATACCAATTTTCAGAAATTTTAATGTGCAGACATGGCCCAGAAAGGAACACAACATGCTTGCACTGGTGGCTCTGAGGATTTTGCTAGATCAAAAACTCACTCATTCATTGAGAGCCAGACCAACCTTCAAGAAGAAGGGAGCCAAATGCGAGAGCTTCGCCTACTGCCCAATCAAGATTGTTATCCTTTAACATCTGTTGCCTTCCTTTCAGCACTCTTTCCAACCCACGGTGAAGATTGAAATCTGAAAAATATTGAATGAAATGCATATCTCCATTCTGATTTTGGATGAAGGAATGAAGTACGCAAGTCGCGAAGTACTTTGTTGGCGGCATGAAGCATTGGCAACTAGCACTATTGTCATGACGAAGAGAAGATCGAGTGGGAAAATAAACTCCCCATAATTCGCCTCGACAGAAAAACGGTAGTGGCGCACCGCAAGCACCCCTGGAAGGAGAGAGCCATCCACAGTCCTGCCGATCGGCGGTCTCTGATAAAATCTGTTACCACACAGAACACTTCCTAATGCTACTGTCCCTCAACAGCGAATGTGGATGGACTTTTAAAGGGCTATTTAGCGCTTCCCTTAAATGATATCTTGTCCGAAACATTAGCGTATTTGGATGATGAATCATGGATGACGTACCTGAGGGAACGGACGAGAATTTATCAATAATGTGATGGATTTTTTCCTTTGAAACGCCACTAGCTGGTATTTTTAACGGATCACGTGTTTTGAAGAAATCATCCCAAGGCGAATCCAGCCAATCCCGATGACGTACATACGTCACTTTCTGTGCAGCGTCGTAAGCATCTTCTAGTAAGGCATTGTATTTGGTCACTTCATCCTGCAAACAATCATGATTTCGGGACTGGATGACAAACGAGAACAATCCCAGGAACGAGATATTCCCAGATATTCCTACTAAAATTTCATCCACAAAACCGCAAAACAAAGCTGGTACTTTAATATTTTGAATCAGCTACTGTCCCACCCCCTTCTTTCATCACTCTACTGAAGCAGCTAATACATTAATTTTCCTTATTTTGGGCCACCCTCAGGTGGTGGAGGAATTGCAGATGCGCAAAATCTAGGCCTAGCTCAATTACACCACTGTAAACTCCCAAAAGTCAAAAAGGCGCTGTGCATGCATTTAAAGACTAGAAGGGAAGACCAGTTACTGCGATCAGAGAACATTAAAGAAAAGAACGACGAACAACTCCCCAATCTTGCGGCGTATGCACTCGGCATCGGTTATGTACCGAGAACATTTGACTCGTCAAAACAGCTCTACTAACTTTTACAGTTTATATACACAAACAGTTTATTAAGCCTAGACTTATACACATATAAATATACAGCTTGGGGACCAGACTAGAAATTGGTAATTAATTTTTCACATGTCTCAGAGATTACCGAGTCCGGGTTACTAGATGCCACAAGAATATAGCTGCCACAGGGCTGAGCATGACCCATCTGTATGCAAATGCAAATGTCCTACCTTAACATACTGCTCATTTGCAACACCCTCGGCAAGGATTTGTTTCTGATAGGCCCCAAGCAATTGTGTGGTGTTTTTGATGCGCTGATACATGAGTGGCTGCGTGAACATTGGCTCGTCCAACTCATTGTGTCCATACCGTCGATAACACACCAGATCGATTATCACATCCTCAAATACCGAAACACTGATTATTTCATCCGCAACATATGCCCCAATTCGAAATACCGATTACCCCTGATATATACCTTGTTTCGCAACGTCGATTATTAATATCCGCAAAATAGCTTATCCAAAACACTGTTAGCATTTTAAAACAATTACCTAAATGCTAAATCTGCTGAGAGAAGTGAGTGGGGATTATACTAACCTTTTTGAAAGTACGTCGCCAGTCTGCTGCAACATTGCACACGTGCATTACTGCCTCTGGTTGGTCACCGTTCACGTGGAATATTGGACATCCGACCGCACGACCAATATCGGTGCAGTAAGGGGATGAGCGTGAGCATCTTGGATCAGTCGTGAAACCAATCTAAGTGGGTCGCAGCAATTAAATGATGTACCCCTGACGCCACTTGCTTGTAATTCTTCGACAACTTACAAAAATTGTACCAGACAACTTGGCCTTTGGGTTACTTCTGCTAAACTTTAACTATAAAAGTCTATAATAAAACAACTGGAGCAAAAAACTCTCACTAATTTTACCAAATTCTCAGTCGTTTCCAAGCAGTGCATTAGCTTTAGGCGGTGCAGTAGTTGTGAAAAGGCTACCTGATTATTGACAACGATGTGGATGGTTCCGCGTGTGGTATAGGCTGGCAGATCATTGAGATTGAATGTTTCCATTACGATGCCCTGGCCACAGAATGCAGCATCGCCATGCAACAGAAGTGCCATGGAACGATCACCATTTTTGTCACCACCGTAGAATGATTCGGCGCGCACCTTGCCCAAAACCACGGGGTCCGCAGCTGGAAGCAAACTGCTTATTTTCAACCAATAAATCGAAATGAGATATGCTATAAACTTTAAATTACCTGTCTTGATAGCAACAGCACCAAAAATAGCACATGCAACAATTCAGGACAGTGTTTACCTGATGCAGCAGAAAGGTCAAACTGCATCTGAGATTTTAATCCATGCAAAATGAGAGGCAAATTCTACCCTCAACTATTTGAAAATTTAACGAACTAAGATCCAAGCTCGCCTACTCCTTTAACGTTAAGGTGAACTTAAACCTTAGGACATAGATTAAAAGAGACATTTGAAAGTAATCTCGAAGTCTGCGGTGTCGCACAAGTTCCGGTACTTGGACCTCAAAGTTTAAGAAAACATCAGAAAACTGTAAATTAGGGTAACACAGTAACATGTTTACAGATCGCACCATTCAGGTTAGTGACTAAAAGACAAAATACCGCGTAGTTTGAAAGACCTGGAATTTTTGGTCACGAACACACACACACACACACACACACAAAGGGGAGTGACAATAAAAATGAATTCGCTACAAATCGTTTCCTTTCACTTACCTAAGCAATCAAGAATTTCTCATGTGAATGCCCGCATGAAAACCCACCTTCAAGATGTGATGGATTTGCAACAACAGCAACTTTGACTTTCCTTTGCGAGACTCGATTCAGGCGTTCAATGCTCACTCCAAGATGATACTTCACATCGCCGGAGCCCTCATCGGCAGGCTCGAGCGTTGAAAACTGCGTTAAAATTTTTGGGAGAGGTTGGCGGCACACATTTGCCAGGATGTTTAAGCGACCACTGAAAAGAAGCAACATTTGGTAACCTGCGTGGTCTTTTGAAAAGGTAGATTAGTCGCACTCAACTTGCTGCAACATAAAACTGGCACTAACATGTCCTATACACATATGCAGCGGCGAATTCTTTACGATTCTTTCATTCGTTTCGATGATGAATTGGTAATGACACATGTTAGGGAGCACAAAAATGCTATTAGCTCGCTTCTATGAAAAAGGAAAGCATCGACAGCCTTGCCAGCGAGTGTTTGCTGTTGACACATGTTACCTCGAGTGTCTCTTGCAGAGAGTGACTGCAGAGTGCATTTTGACTTGGAAAACATTCCAAGGACTGCCGTTCAAAGATTTCATGGCAGCACATTTATGGTTGTCATCCGCCAATGTGTGCCTGCTTTCGCAGTTGTTGTCTTTCTCAACAGCATTTTGCTGATTGTTTTTTGTTCCTGTGCACTAACCAAATCAAAAACCAAAGCGCAGTGCGTAGAAATCGACCAAAGCACCAAAGGCCGAAGTACAAAGAAGGCGTTTCGAAATAATGATCATTCATACATTACTGCAGTACGACCACTGACTTTCTGATGATCGACTAAACATCACAGTTAGCCTTCCCCAATACGTCTGTAGTGGTAAAATTTCGAGAAAGTACATCAAAATCACTATCACTGTTCTGTTTAAAACTTCCAGCTGGATGACAGTGAAAATTTCCGCGATAAAGTAGTGGTGCTCAACATACGTATCCGCGGGAACAGCTAGAGTATTTCTTTTGGACCAATGGTAATCCCCTTCGCTAGGGCTGTGAGCATGCTGACCGTCAAAGACGAAGTAACTGGAAAAGCTGTGCACTGCATGTTGAAGAGACAGCTGCAAGCAGCAGTGCATTAGTGAAGCACTTCTAAATCAAAAAGGCTGCAAACTGTTACCGATGAGGCATTCCGATTACGATGGAGTCGACACCCGCCGCACTGGATGCATCGATCACTTGCTTCACAGCCGGGATCAGCACTTCACAGCCCTCCAAGCCAAACCGCTTTTCACTCGGCCACTAAAACAACAGTGTGTATTAAATCTATAAACTGAAGAGATGAAAGGATGCAGTAGTCAAGCTAGCGGAAAGTCGTAGACAAGCCGACCTTTTTAGAAAGAAATTCCTCGAATTTCGTGGACCGTATGAGCCGTTTGAATAGTGTTTTCTTCTGTTCATGCGTCAGCTCTGCAGCGCGAGGCTCCTCGAATCGTTGTCGCACCCATTCTAATTGCTCGTAGTTCGTCAAATGCATGTATTCAACTCCAGTATGTGAGCAATAAATTTTCTAAAATTCTTAACTCAAAACAGAGATGCAAAAGCAGCACTAACAGTATTCATCTCGTGAGAGACAGAGAGAGCAGCTTATTTCATTCAGAAATAGTAAAGGGCAAACCTTTAAGCGACTGATGATCTCCCTGAGTTTTAGCGATTTGTGCGCCCCACCGATATGTGTGGACATCGGGAGAAGATACTCCCTATCCATATGGGCTTCGGTAAGTCCATAAAATGAAGGCTCCAGTTCCGGAGGCGTCGTGTCAGTCAGATCCACGCAGTTGATTCCCAATGGGTCCAAATCCGCGATGTTATGTCCACGAGTCTAAACACACTGCTTCTTGTACCGGTGTCAAAAAGTGGAAACGTATAACAGCAGTGTATATATATTTAAGAGATACCTGGTAGCTTCTGATCAAAAGCTGCACTTTCAGGTGCTCATCCACACTTTGAAGAGGTAGTTGTGCCGCGGCTGTGCCTTGAACGGAAGGTAAACCTCTTGGAGGAGCTGAATAGGCTTGGCCAGGTGGAAGACCTGTAACACAAACATCTCCCAATAGCAGTTAGAAGCCATAAGATGACTCAGCAGCGACAAAAATGATTATATTAATGCCTTCAGCATTCGGTACAACTGCAACGTGCAGAGAATTCAGAATATCTTAATGAACTTCAAACCCTGCCCGTATTCGAACCAGGGAACACTTCTCCAGCCAACTAGTATCCCACTACTATCAAATTATCAGTGCGATCTGTTGCCTCCAGTAGCGAATTCGTTCCCATCACAAAGAAATTGTTCCGTGTGTTTACCTCGCTCGACGTTCTGGAAATAAGCGTTCCAAGAGGCATGGACCGATGTTGGATCTTTGCGCCATGCATCATACATTTGTTCAATGTAAACCGACGAGGTACCATTCATAAAAGGCTCCGCCTGAAACAGACATGACATTTACTTAACTAAATATATATCAGCTGACTAAAAACGCCTGACCTGCGTTATACGTATAAAAAATTTCCCCATTTTTTTACTTTTTTTATCAGAGGAAGAGGAACGGGGGGGGGG